ACTCTTCTCGAATCCTCTGCACTGTCCTCAGATTTCTAATTTTGTGTCGTAGTGACACGCACGAAATTAAAATGATAAAATGGCGACAATTTACTCATCGCACCTGTATATATATATATATATATATATATATATATATATATATATATATATATATATATATATATATACACACACATATATATATATATATATATATATATATGTATATATATACATATATATGCATACAGTATATTTCACGCTAGACGCAATCAGCATAAGCGCAATCGTTGACTTCAATGTTATATATATATATATATATATATATATATATATATATATATATATATTTTATATGGACAGTAGTGAGAGAGAAAGAGAGAGAAAGATTTTATTAAAATATATTTTATATATATATTAATAATAGTACTCGCTTTGGAAACCTCGGATAGCTCAACTTGTAGATATGTCATGACAAATCGGTTCCCGAGGAAAAAATTGAAGAAAAAAAAGAAAGAATTAAAACAGCAGAAGAAGACGAAATAAATCGCCAAGTGCTTAAAGTCCTTAGTCCAAAGAAAAAAAACAGAAACGAATAGAAAGACTAAAACCTAAAACTAATATATATATATATATATATATATATATATATATATATATATATATATATATGTGTGTGTGTGTGTGTGTTTTTGTGTGTAGATATACAATGATGGGAATTTCTATAATATAGACACACTTATACAAACATAAATCTTATATATATATATATATATATATATATGTGTGTGTGTGTGTGTGTGCGCGTAAACGCATGTGTGTGTGTGTGTGTGTGTGTGTGTGTGTGTGTGTGTGTGTGTGTGTGTGTGTGAATATGCTTGTTTCTGCATCGAAAATGTTTTCCCATGTTGCACTTACTGAAGAAGGCATTCCTTTTTCTAGCGTTCTTATTTTTAAAAAAAATGCTTTCAGCTTTTGAGTAGGTATCTATACTTTTAACAATATTCATTGTTCACTGTAGTAAATTCAGTAATATACTTTAAATACAAATTGAAGTATCATAAGGATATAATTGATATGAAAATTCCTTCACGTAATCTACGCGCAAATATTTATATGTATGGATATATCGACACACAAAGCACACTTGGTTCATATAGATAGATAGATAGATAGATAGATAGATAGATAGATAGATAGATATTTTTAATTGCTTTTCTCGTCGTCCTTAAACATGCAATGGTTAGACCTACAGAAAATGAAAGCACAGTTTCAAGTTCAGGCCTACCGATTACAGACTCTAAACTGATAAAGTCATGAACTCTAATTCCCCTGCTCCTCATTGTATATGTGCTCACAGTTCGGAAGTTGGTGAGAGTGTTTTGGATAAAATATAGACAAGAAGAATCTTTTTTAAGGTCGTACCCTGTTTGAATATATTTTAACTATCTCCTGGTTTGATAATGACCAACAAGGTTTGCCAATCCAAATATAACATACACACACAGACATATACGAGCGTGTGCGCGTACACACACACACGCAGACACACACATATAGATGCATATAACATGGTCTAGTTGAAAACATGTGTATGTTTAATTTTTCTCAACTATAGCAAAATAAGTATAAAAGGGACAAAAATTGAGCTGAAAGACTGTGCTGCGCCAATTGCCCAATAACTTGCAAATCAGCATTCATAATCCAGGATTTAAAAGGTCCGGTGTCCACTCGATGTAGAAGGTTATGTTAGGGGGCAATTTTGTGCGGGTAGAAGTGGAATATAACGGTTAACCACAGCCTTGAACAGGTTAAGATTATAGAGATTGTGGAAATATTGAAAGTTGGTTCCACAGGGAAGTAGTTCACGAGAAGAAGCTTTTCGAGTAGAGCTTGCTTACGGAGGGAACGTGGGTGATTTGCTACTATGTAAGTGGTATAGCGAGCCCTTGCCCTGAAGGTTTCAATTAGCGGGACAAGGAAATGTCGTTTGTCCGTGCACTTTTCGTGGAAATAGCAACGAGAGGCTTGCTACATGCAACCCGTGGGAGAGAGGGTGGAGATTAATTCATCACCCACAAGGGCTTGGAGACGCTTTTGAACTCTATCAAGTCTGGAGATAGAGAGAGAGCTCTGGGCAGTTCCCGCTCAGATATGACAACAGTACTCCATTTAGCTCTTGAGGATGACAGGAGAGGTCATGTACTTACTGGAACGTTTCAAGGAGTCGACCATTTTATCGACATTCTTAGCAACAGATCCTATGTACGAGTTCCAACTGAGGTCAGATGCGAGTTTGAGACCCAACAGCTTTTCAAGGCATGGTGCCCCTCCCAGAGAGGACATCCATTCATCGTGACTGGTGGTAGTCAAGGTTCCAATCGCCAGTCATGGAATGTAACTACTTTGGTTTCCGATGCCCTTGCCTGTATTCGATCACTGCTTCCTGGCATCAGTGATTGTGTTTTCATTGATATTAATATTTAATAAGCAATGGTGCTATCAGGCCGTGAGAACATATAACGATTAACTGGTTTATTTTGATTGGTTTATTTTGTTTTACGGCATATCAACACCTCAGTGGGTTATTTAATGCCGACAACATTTTTAGGATAGATTCGTATGAATAGAATATGTATTCTTTGGTTTAGATTGGTTTGGTTTATTTTGTTTTACGGCATATCAACCTCAATGGGTTATTTAATGCCGACAACATTTTTTTATTGCTGGTAATATTTTGTTTTGTCAAAAATCTATTTCTGGTAATATTTTTCCGTCAAAATCGTATTGTTGGTAATAATTTTTTTTCAAAAATGTATTACTGGTAATAGTTAATTATTTGCCCATAGCTGGGACCCTAACAGGTGCTACCACCCCGTGTCAGGGTGGACTTGGGAACACCAGTAATTAAGAGGTGGTTCCACGCTCCTCAAAACCTCCTGATCAGAGGACTTGCTGCTGGATGTAGTTTATCGTCTTACCTAGGACGCGGATGTAGTTTATCGTCTTACCCAGGACGCGGATGTAGTTTATCGTCTTACCCAGGACGCGGACGTAGTTTATCGTCTTACCGAGGACGAAACGATATTCTGGCTAATGGATATTTGCTAAGCTTAGCTTATTCCGACGCAGATTCAGGTGAGGGAGGTTGTTTTCCGCCAATGTCCCAAATGGAGGCAATGTCCGCCCTCGAAAATCAGCATTTGAAATTTTTAATCCTGAACATTGACGATGCGTGTTATTTTTAAAGTGAGAGAAAAAAAAAACCATTTCACTGCTGGTTTTCGTTGCCTATTCATTTTTTGCTTATTTCTGTAAAATACAAATCTACTAGATACGAATTGAAACTACAGAACATATATTGCCTGTAATGAGGAAACATAGGACAAGATAAAGCAATTCTCACGCACACAGAAATATAATTATTTACCCGCTGCCCGACGCAGCAAGATGTGGCACCGGACCGAGTTTTAAAGTGGGGTATCCGAGCCCGTAGGCTGGGGCAAAAATTCCCTATAGATCACGTAAAAAACGGAGTCAGTTTCCCAAGACGAGGCTCTACCCTTCAGCAGAGCCTCGTCTGGGGGATACTCTCTGACATGTGTCAGGTAAGTTTCGTACACAGAAATATATACAAATACACTCACACATACTCTCAGGCAAGCAAAACGAAATAAAACTAGACACAAAATTACTTGTAAAATATTGCGGGTTGTTGAATTGTAGGTAGCCTTTCCATTTATGAGTTGTACATACAATCTTAATAACAATATCACTTGAGTGCTAAAAATTAATACATAATTTTAAAAAGTTTATAAGTTATTCTAATTAAATTAAAAAAAAATGATTACAATTCTTGTAAAAAAATTCATTATTCAACGAAATTTATTTTTTAAAGCCAATAATGCCCATAATATATTTTATAAATAAAAGCAATTAAATGTTTTTTAAGTAAATAATGTCTTATTTTTACTTCATTTTTTTTTTATTTTACGATACGAAACCGATTTTCTGAAAGTGGAGTTCCTGTTTGACGAAAAATATGATTTAAATTCTTCGAATACTTGTTTTTATAACTAATATAAACATTCAGCACTATTCTTAAAATTTCGTAAATAAGTGTAGGGGGAGGCTAACAGATGTAAAAAAAAATATTTTTAAAAAGATTTTATAAAAAAGAAACATTTAAAAAATAATTTCATTCATTAGTCCTGAAATTTTCAATAAAATCCAACATTTATCTGATTTTTGCAAGAATTTCCAAATCAGTGTTTTGCTACGCAAAAAAGACGCTAAAATTTCTTATATTAATTTAATGGCAAAAAAAAAACTTAACCAAAATTTGGAGGGTTCTAACTATTGGGTTGGTGCATAATTATCAGGCGATTTTGTATGCGAGTTATTTGTTAATAAAAATTGCTGTAGTGTTTTGTTTACATTTTTAATACAAATATTATTTTATTTTCAGGTTATAAAAATGCGTGTCGATAATCATTTGCTCTGGAATAATCATTTAAAAATGTTATTGTTGAATTATTATGTTTCTTTTTTCATAATAAATATTATTAAAGAAACGCCTGATAATTATACACCATCCCAATAAAAATGCTCTCGTCTTTCCCCTTAATAATAACAGAAAGATTTTGACGATAACACTGCTTTTATTAAGTCTTTGACATTTTTTCTGCAAACATATTTATATAAATAATTACGTTATATAAGATGGGGTTGCTGAAATGTTCTCGACTCAACACACATTCTTTTACATGGAATCCGTTCTTGGTCAGAATCTTGCAGCAAAAAGTGACTGTATACATAATTACACACATTGTGAAAAACAGTGTACTAAGACGAAAGGAAAGGAACTTGGCTGCCAGGAGGTATTGTTAATCCAAGGTGGATAGCTCAGGAAATAATTTCTCTCATATATATATATATATATATATATATATATATATATATATATATATATATATATATATATATATATATATATATATATATATATATATATATATATATATATATATATATATGTATATATATATATATATATATATATATGTATATATATATATATATATATATATATATATATATAAGTCAAAAAGTATAATGTTGCTAAAGGTTACTAGATGCCAATTCAAAATCAGGAAGGAGTTGAGGAAATTTATGATCGCAGGGGGAGGTGTGTGACTTGGAACTCCCAGATAGATTTGTGTAAATATTGAATGGTAAACAAATAAGTTTTATAACTATCGTTTAAACACGAAAATTTGCTTATAAAATGTTAAGCCACAAACAAAAATAAAGATTTGCCAACAATACATAACTTCAAAGAAAAAAGATAGCGTAAAAGCAACTAGAATGGAATCGTCCTGCCAGGTTCAAATCCAAGATGAAGCAGTTTTTGTTTACTTCTTACTAATGCATTTCAGAAAGTACATAACTGCATCTCATCTCCTCTTCATGCCACACACACACACACACACACACACACACACATATATATTTATAAGTTAAATAGCAGAAAAATATCTTTTATTGGTAACCAATTTATGAGAAGTGAGAATTTAAAACCAGATGGTTGGCAGTGCAGCTAACATCCGCGGTCGATTGCAGCATTAATTGCGGCCCGATGCACCAAGTAGATAAAACATAAACAAAATATACAAACACCTTTACATTCAAAGACAACGAATATTTACAATGCAGTGTCACAGATTAACAAAGAAAATCAACACGAACATATACAGGTAGACATTGTCTAGTATATAAAATACATGACAATGTGATAATTTTCTAAGTTATTCTTAGATATTTTGATCCTGAACCTGTAACAGAATAATATTCTCATATTATCAACATCCGAAAAGTACACGAGACCAAGTTTATATATATATATATATATATATATAACACACACATACATATATGAATATATATATATATACATATATACGCACACATATATATATATATATATAAAAACAAAAAACTATACATATATATACACACTATATATATATATACTATATATATATATACACACACACTATATATATATACACACTATATATATATAAACACACACTATATATAAAACACACTATATATATATACACACTATATATATATACACACAAATATATATATATATATATACTTACACTAATGTATATATATATACACTAATATATATATATACATACATTAAAATATATATATATATACACTAATATATATATATATATACATACATACACTAAAATATATATATACACTAATATATATATATATATACATACACTAAAATATTTATATATACAGTAATATATATACATACATACATTAAAATATATATATACACGAATATATATATATATATATACACTAATATATATATACACTAATATAGATATATATACATACACTAATATATATATATACACTAATATAGATATATATACATACATACACTAAAATATATATATATACACTAATATATATATATATACATACATACACTAATATATATATATATATACAATATATATATATATATACATACACTAAAAATATATATATATACACTAATATATATATATATATATACATACACTAAAATATATATATATACACTAATATATATATATATACATACACACATAAAATATATATATATATACACTAATATATATATATACACACACACACTAAAATATATATATACACTAATATATATATATATATATATATATACTAAAATATATATATACATACACTAAAATATATATATATATATATATATTACTAATATATATATATACACTAATATATATATATACATACACTAAAATATATATATATATACTTATATATATATTAATATATATACACTAATATATATATATACACTAATATATATATATATACACTAATATATATAGACATATATATATATACTAATATATATATATACACTAACATATATATAGATATATATATACACACTAATATATATATATATACACAATATATATATATATATATATATATACACACTAATATATATAGATATAAACTAATATATATATATATATACATACACTAAAATATATATATATACACTAATATATCTATATATACATACACTAAATATATATATACACTAATATATATATATACATACACTAAATATATATGTATACTTATATATATATAAATACACTAATATATATATATACACTAATATATATATATACACTAATATATATACACTAATATATACATACACTAATATATATATATATATACACTACATATATATATATATATATATATATATATATATATATATATATATATATATATATATATATATATATATATATATATATATATATATGCGCACGTGACTGAGTGGTTAGAACGTTGAGTCCCAGGTTTGAATGTAACCATAGTCGATTTGTCAGGAAGGAAACTTTCTGATCTTATCGGACTGGAGGGGTCGATCCTAGCGTGCGGCAACTTCAGAAAGTGCCTGAAAACCATACCACCGGTTTGACCTAAGCCTTGTGAGTGAAATTGGGTAGATGGAACACTTGGAAGCCGTCGATAACTGTGCTAGCACGAAGTCACAAGTCATCGTGGCCGATGGCTTGTGCGTGCTGGCCTTGTTCAAATTGTTGATCACGCTAGATAACACTCTCTTTCCCAGCATAGTTGCAATATAAATCACAGGTTAGCTCTGTGGGTGTTGAATAGCCGCCCTAATAGACAGGTATCCTCGAATACGAGTGACCAGCTATATATGTGAACATTGAAGTCAACACTTAGAGGCGACAGACTGTTTCATGCTAGACGCAATCATCAGGCCTGCGTTTGTCAAATACATGTAAAACTTGATTAACCAATGAAAAGCAAACAACACAGTATAAATACCAGAATTTCTTTCTTCTTTTTCACCATATCTCATTCTCTGATGAAGCTTTAATAAAAGTGAAACATGTACTTTATCCTATTCTGTCGGATCCCGATTCATATTTGATCTGTATTTAATTCCAACTCATATATATATATATATATATATATATATAATAGCTGGATACCCGTCTAGTAGTGCGGCTAGCTAATCCCTATTGCAGAGGCTCGCTCAGGCACATTTCTGTTAGTTTAACAAAGCAAATCTGTGGTTTAAACTGCAACTATGCTGAGCAGACCTTAGTTACAGTTTCTAGAGGACGTTATCTACCGTCTACCCATTTTCACACACAAGGCTTGGGTCAAACCGTGTTATGGTTTTCAGGCAGTTTCCAGAAGTGGCACATGCTGCAAGCGCCCCCTCCAGGGCAACACCATCAGGAAATCTACTTTCTGGCAGATTCGAACCCGGGCTCCCAGGGTCAGAGAGCGAACTTTTATATATATATATATATATATATATATATATATATATATATATATATATATATACGACCTTCATATACTTAGTACAAACTTTGATCAAAGGCTTTATTAACATTTACTATTTGCCTACGCTTTTATGAAGCCGCCGTTCTTAACGACATCGCATATGTAGAAGAAATACATCAAAGATCTTCTGATCACTTTTTAATGGCTGAGTTAATCCCGTAACCAACATAGAACATGACATCCGTTAATTCTACCTAATCGCTAATCCGACGAAACTTGTAACATGTAACTGAAAGTATGCGCGTGCGCACACGCACAACATTATATATATATATATATATATATATATATATATATATATATATATATATATATCAACCGTATGGATATGCAGTCTGTGTTGCTTCACAAAATCTATCGAAATGGACAAATCTTTGAAGCAAGAGGGCTTTTTAATTGAGCCAAGAACTTTTCAGAACATTTCGAGAATATATATATATAAGAATTACAAATATTATGTCTGCTTATTTTTATCATAATCATTTCATATTCACGAATATTTTTTTCCGAATATGAAAATATAATAATAAAAATAGGCAAACAATGTTTGTAATTTATTTAATGGGACATGCCTAAAAGAGAATTTGTTGCCTGAATCTACATACACACAAACACATATAGGCATAAAACATATTGACAATTATATATTATTCTGTTCAGATGAATTTTACTTACAATTACATAACTGCCTAAACATTCGTGTGTACCTACACACAAACACAAACAATTATTTATAGTATTTGAATATATATATATATATATATATATATATATATATATATAGAGAGAGAGAGAGAGAGAGAGAGGGGAGGAAAAGAGAGAGAGAGAGAGCGTTATCTACAATATACATGACTTCTGTCTCGTTGATAAGTTCATTTTATTTGACTCTACCATAGGCACATTAAGTAATGTGGTTTGTTTTAAGATTCGTGTATGCTAGGGGTCAATATGATTGATCGCCATTTATCTATAGATCGATATCTGCAATAAATTCCTTTCCATTGCATGTTTCTACTTTTCTCCCTTCCTTTCTCTCTCCCTCTCCTTCACTCTGTGTACATATACATATATATATATATATATATATATATGTGTGTGTGTGTGTGTGTGTGTGTGTGTGTGTGTGTGTGTGTGTGTGTGTTCTCAACCAGACGAAATCAATTTGTCACTTTGTCTTTTAGTGGAATTTTTTTTTTCTATATTTTTGCTTTTTAGCTATTTTTCGTTTTCCTTCATCTTTGGGTTTTTTCTTTTCGTTTTTTACCATTTTTATCACACACACACACACACACACACACACACACACACGCGCCCACACGCGCCCGTGCGTGTCCACATATTGATGTAACTGACTATAACGACTTAGAAAAATATATGAACAGTATTGAACAGACGTTGAACTAAAATACAGTGGGCGAGAGAGAGAGAGAGAAAATGAGAGACTGAGAGAGAGAGAAAAGAATGAGAGAGAGAGGGGAATGAGAGAGAGAGAGGGTATGAGGAAGAGAGAGAGAGAGAAAAATGACAGAGAGAAGGCATACATGCAAACACGGGGATAGATCAATAAATTCGTAGCCGGATACAACAATTAGCTGAAATTTATCTGAAATATTCACTGTATAATATTGTACGATTTGTTTTATTGAGAAGTTTTGGATTAAGTGCCTTGACACGGAAGTGGTTTAAATTGGATAAATATTTGTGCAAAATTAATGCTTTTTACATTATTAGGCTATGCATTTATTGCTGAATCAATTTATATAAATTATTTGAAGAAGCTGCTACTAAAATGATGTACACTATTCATAAACACCAGCTAAAGACCTGAAAACAAGGAAGCTACCATTTTTATTTAAGTAACCATCACAAAGTGAAATGTTTCAGCAGCGTCAAAAAGTATTTAAAAACTGATAAATGTAGAGCTACATTGGCTAAACTTTGTGCGCGAGGGTTTTAGTTCTTCGTGAATATAGACATCAACATGAATTAGAAATCAGTGGAGAGGCGAAGTTATACTTTCGACTATCACTGAAATTATAGATTCTTTCATATTGATGAGAAACTTGAAGAGAATTATTTAAGTCTTGGACAAGATGTTTTTGAAGTGGTACAGGTCACAAGCGATAAGTTTTAATCTAATGAAAATATTCATTCAAGGAATCGTTCCTTCACATTCTGCAAAGTTGAATATTGTACAACTTGCTAAGACAAGGTTTCAAAGACATTAAATTAATGGAATGGCTCCCATCCCCTCCGGATATTAATCCAGTAGGAATCTTGTTATAGATTATTATAAGACATGTATATGAGAATTGCAAACAATATTCAAGCAATGAATCAACCTTCCTAAAACTAAATCTTTTGTCGCCGCCGCTGCTACGTCCCAAAAAGATTTTCCTGACCGTTTAGTGACGCTATAATAAACAGCCACTTGCAACCTTGTCAGGCACCATCAAACCAGCGGAGTCCTATTGTTGGAATTGGGAACTGATACAGCAAAAGTGGTAAATATTTAGGTTGGCATTGGCGATAAAAAAAGTGACCTATTCTGCTGCTGGATAATACAAAACCTGATACATTTATATATCAAAATCTTGCGTTGCTTTCCCTGTTCACGGAGAATGTTCCTATAATGATTATCAGTTTTTCCAGGATATATATGCCAGCAAGTGTACGCCAATGTAGAACAGATCCAAAATGCTTTCCGTATTTTTAGATTTGTTTATTTATTGGTCTTGGGGTGATTTTTGATTTATTTCTTTATTTCTTCTGACACTGCTCTTTTATCAATTCTTGTAAGAATCTATGACGCAAATGTAATTGAAAATCTTTGATTTGGGAAACTCTCCGGCTCATAAACCTGGATTCACTCTTACGCACGAAGCTTTTTGATTTGTCTTTGAGAAGGCGTCTATTATGCATTATTCCTTATTTCGTTTTTATTCAATATAATTCTTTACCGTCTTCAAACGATTAAATATATAAGATAAAATATTATTATGTTATTAATTTATAATATGGGTTTAATATACATAATATATATCTAATGTTATATATATAATGTATCATGTTATTAACATTTGTATAGGGTTTCTTTCACTTTTTTTTAATTAAGGGTTTGTGAATTAAGTTTAAGCGTCTAAAGATTTTTTTCTTTTTCTTTCAGATTTGGCGGACATTTGGGTGATATTATTTTTCACACATAATTGACATGACTTAAATAACATGATCCAATGGAGAAATAAATAAATTTTTATCAATAACACTGATTTATTTACTACTGACTTGGATCCGGCTTAATGAAACACCCTTATATATAATCTGTCTTAATGAAACATCCTTTATTTCACAATCTAATAAGGAGCATGGCTGTATGATTAACGACTGCTAGGGAAAACATTCTCTGTTCAAAAACTGATAAAAGCACTGTGACGGTAACGTAAGGGAACTTATCATTAGTGAATAAGAGTTCTATTTTCGTTGAAGGCTGTGCTTTTATTTTTCTTGTGCTTTTGTCATTATTATCATGTTGCTTATTTAAAAATTGTAGAATACGATTTAATATTTGTAAGTAAAAAAGGAAAAGAAATTTAAATATTTTTATTGCTTGATTTCTTTTTTACGTCTTAACTCATTACAGGTTATTTAAAGCCAGAAAATAATTTTAAATTGTAAGATTTAAAAATAATAATAATTTTTCTAATACAAGTCCTAATAATTAACCCATAGCTGGGGAAGAAGGGGTAGCATCATACCATTCTCATACGTATTTACGCATAAATAAATATAACGAACTCGACTATCAGATCTAATTCCGAGCTGTTATTCATTATGCCGCCTGTACATCCAAACTTACAACACCTGGTACTTCTAAGCAGTCATCCTCTCTTTATTTGCTTAACTTCGTTAGCCGAAGAAAAACTCGTCTAAAATTCATCACAATATTTCATCTAAGGTGTAAGATAAAATCAATTTATTATATTTATAACAGTCTAAGTAAAAATAAGAAAAACTAGTCAAAAATTAATAATAATGACAATGTTTCATTATTTACAGTCGGACTAATGTCCTCATTTTTGTTGTTATTATCATATTTTGGCTGTTATGACCACCGGCCTTCTTAAGGTAATATTCAGGGAATTTTGAACTCAGTTCTTTATTTAATCTACAGCAGATGCTTGTACCAGTTGCGTTGTTCACGGGACAATAACCTAAAGAAAGAGAACGTTGGTTCTAGAATTTGGTGATATAATAATTGTGAGTTCAATCCCTGGGCCGGGTAGTAGAGATTCAGAATCAGGGGAAAGGGATCGAGTAATAACTAAGCAGTCCCGATAAACAGAACAAGATGACAGGTTTTCTAAATATGAACAGCGGTACGAAAACAATCTGACCCCGTAGATTAAATAAAAGAGTTCAGTTTGAAATTCATTCAAGAAGGCTGTAAGGTACAACGGCCTAAACGTTGTGATAATGACAAGAACGCAGCAGACGTTAGTCCGACTGTAGATAATGAGAATTCTTCATTTTTGAAATTCTGATAGAAAATCTTAGTAGATTATTAAATAATCTATATTAGTTTTCACGATGCGACATTTAAACTTTCATTAAAAATATCCCCTGTTCTTTCATCTTTTAATATCATACACATAGAGCTGATTGAATTATACGCTAAGGAAACATATACAGAAGGTCCTCGGGTTACGATGTACGGCGTTTAATGTTTACGGCGCCATCTCCCATAATATAAAATGTCGTCGTCACGCGACACTATATGAGGAAGACGGCGTTGTCTCTTCACCGGCCGTACGCCATATTGAATTGTCCTACATTCGCTATATCTCGTTTATGTCGGTTTTTTTTTTTTTTTTTTTTTTGTGTGGGGGTTGACTTTTTACCCTTCATTATGGCCTCCAAGCGCAAGGCAGACTTGTGGGTGCTTACGAATATTAGTTCCGACCTACGTCGAAAATCAGGTTATGTTGTGCCATAGTAACGGATTTCCGACGAAAGTCGACACCCCCCCTCACTTGTACAGGAATGCTTTGAGATACGAGTTTAATTCTTTCTAAGACCGAGCTCGTAACTCAAAAGACCCCTATCTCAAAACAATTGTCCCCATTGAAATTAATGGCAATATTTCCGGTCCGTTTCAGTCCCCTAAAAATTCACTATTGCTTTTTGCACTTACTTTCTTCGAACCCATGGTGTTACTAAAGGAATTTTGCAAAATAACGCTAAAAAAAAGATACAACGCAAGAGATGCTTCCAGAGCAGAGGTGAACACATATACTGCGAATGCTGAATTGAAACACGCTCGTCTCTCAAAATTCATTTCTTATCTCAAGTCAAAAAATCGATCGGCTCGTATCTCAAAAAATTTGTATGTCAAAACGCTCGTATCTCAAGGTATTACTATAATAGTATTTTAAATTATATTTTATTGTGAGTTGTATATTGTAAGAATTATGTACGCTTCCTCGCAACCGAATATATTAAGAAAGGTTTTCGTTTGATGAAATTAAAATAAATGTCCTTATGTTATTTCGAAGGTTGTGAAATTATTTAAACCAGCGATGAAAATTAAGAGATGTTTTATCGATTTTTTACCCCCAGTTACCATTAAGACTTCAAAGAGAAAACATGTTCGGACTGCTGATATGTCGGGAAACTATTACCGTTGGTGTTCATAATTTAGAGAAATTAAAAAAAGAAAGAAAGGTAATCATAATGGCGTTCGGCGTCATGTCGTTGTGTATAACAACAAAAGATTGCAAATCTTGCAAATTTTTCTTGATGCCATATTGTTAGAAGCCAGAAGGAAATCATCCGAGAATTACGGCGTCGCTTGATGGCATTAATTTACCGTAAATTGAAAAGAGAAAATATAAAGCCAAGAATGCCAGGCAATTTGAGACATGATACAAAAAGCCTTTTGGCGTTATGAAGGTAAAGATTTTATATAGTCTGTTTTAAGACATTTTTATGTTTATACATTCTTTTTATAGATACAAATATTTAAGTAAATGCTCTGTTTTTATAATAAACAATATTTATAACATTTACCGACCTGAATGTCCGAGAAATTTTCATAGAAAATATGCGTCCTCCGACAGGAATCGAACCTGTATCCTATACGGAACCGTCATTTAGCCTGACGTGCTCTTAACCGATCGAGCCACAGAGAATCGTTCGATTAGCAAGGTCGAATTTACTGCTTTTAAACTTCAATTTTCCATGAATCTTTCACGTACATTCATATCTGCTCAAAGCGTATCCAAATGTAAACAAATCACGTCACACATTATGAAATGGACAAAGTCCGACAATTATTTTTAAGTCATTTTTATGTTTATACATTCTTTTTCAATGTTATAATTACTGTTTATTATAAAAACAGAGTATTTACTTAAATATTTGTATCTATGAAAAGAATGTATAGACAGAAAAATGTCTTAAAATAATTGTCGAACTTTGTCCATTTCATAGTCTGTTTACATTGCATCTTTCATTTTAATTTGTTTTCTTAGGTTTTATTCTCAA